TTCATTCTGTGTGAGATCGGTGAGGCCTTGGTAGGATCCGGAGCCAGATGCGAAGTCACCGTTCCACTCTTGGGGAAGATAAACTCCGTTTAGAGTAATGTTGGAAGAACCACAAGCTTGATCCTGAGCATGACTTGCGAAGCTCAAGATCTAGAAAAGTGAGCAGGTGGGATGGTATTTAGGTGCCTGAAGGTGGCCTTACCAAAGACTCGTCATCCTGGCCCGTGTGATCGTGGCCAAGACATCCAGTGCAGGGGACACTGAAGGTAGCTTGCGCGTAGTTTTGTTGAAGGTCTAGCAAAGTTCAGTAGCTGCCTAGGGATGGCAAATGTGGAATGGTATAAGAAGAATGCGGACCTAGCTGCAAGAGGTTTCCGTCCGGGCGAGTAACTTGACGTTCGTGTTGAGGTATGACGGCGGAGAATGCAGGTGCCGCCCACGCGCACGCTGCCAACACTTTGGACTTGAAGGAACGCATATCGAAAAGAACGAGGAACACGACTTCAACAAAGCAAAATTTCGAACAGGGCACGAGAACGCCGGCCCGCAAAGAGAGCGAGGTTTGGCGGGTTATGGGACAGATGTTCCCAAAGGTTCGAGGATCAGGCACCAGTCGAAGGGCGTTTTGGAGGACGAGGGCGCGGAGCTGCTAGTGGCTGCCGTCAGCGTGAGCGTGGCTTAGACGTCCGCTCACGATTCAGCTGGCAGCGCTATGCATGATGGAGCGTGATGAAACACGGGGATACGGCAAGTTAGAGTGAGCATGCAGAAGTGCGCATCGTGTAGTGTATGTGATTGTGGTTGTGGTTGTGATGAATGCCATGATTGCCAGAACCCTGTGCGGCCATCTGGTGATGGCCGTGTTCATGTGAGCGCGGTATCACATTTGAGTTATCTGTGCTGGCTCGAATACGATGGACTGCTCAGTGATTTACCAGCTCTACCAGTTCTATGCAACATGCGTGCATCTGGATGTATCGAGATGCTGCCGAAGTGGATAGTAATTCGTAGGGCTGCTCCGCCAAGATTTTATGGTCCAAGCTTTCGCGGCCTGCGATGGTACGAGGGAGATCATGGTCACTAAGCCAACTACGTATTCCGCCCTTGTTCCCACTCACTACTAGGAATATCTTCAGCAGCGTCGCGACATCTCCTTTGCGCCAGACTACTTGGGTTACGTGCCGGGCACAGTCGCGAAAACTCATAGCGCGACAATATGGTACGTCACCCAGCTCACCAACAACTGCCACTTCTTGGTTGACTCCCGACTTAGCTTCCATTGGGCCTTTTGACGGCCGCGACGGGCCATCCCATGCTGGTAGAGCTGAAGAGCGGCGAAACTCTGAACGGGCTGCTTGTCAACTGCGACACATGGATGAACCTGACGTTAAAAGAGGTCGTGCAGACGAGTGCCGACGGCGACAAGTTCATGAGATTACCAGAGATCTATGTTCGCGGTAGCACAGTCAGTTTCCAATCTTCTTCTCTGGTATGCTTTGCTGACGAGTTCCAGATAAAGTACCTCCGAGTGCCGGACGAGATCGTCGACGTCGTAAAGGAACAGCAAGCCAAGGACCAAGCGAATCGCGGCGGCCGAGGAGGTGGCATGCATGGACGTGGAGACCACCGAGGCGACCGTGGTGGGGGCAGAGGCATGAGGGGCCGAGGACGCGGTCGCGGAAGAGGAGGTGGTGGTGGTGGCAGCGGAGGTGCTTGAAGCTGGACTTATACCCCACTGCAGCGGCAGCCTGCGCACGCGATACTTGTACAGATAGCGACGGGTTGGTTTTCGACCGTCGACTACAGAGCAAGAATACAGAGGAGCGAAAGGGCACCACTATGGACCGTCGAGTTGAGCAGACTGCTTTTGATGCTGCATTGGAACAGAACCTGTCCCGACTGTCAACTCCAGCGAGATCAGCATCGTCTTCCTTGTCAAGCCGTACGTCCTTACTGAGTACTCGTTGCTCCTCTGCTAGGTAAGCATAGCAGAAAGTCCGTTATCCTGGACACAACCTGAAGCTAGCAACCTGACACAAATAGGCGTAAGCATATTAGCCAATAGGAAACCCTACAAAACGCCAGGTACATAGTCTTTGGTTCTATCTCCATGCATCTTGGCCGCAGTGATACAGTTACCCGAACAATATGGTGGTCCGGCGGAGTCGTACGTTAATGCGGGGCACTCCTTACGCCCCGAGCTTGTGGTACGGCGTAGTTGTCTGCTCAGGCGACTCTCCATTTGCGCTATGCTATAAGACTTGCGCCGCAGCCGATTCACGCTCAACGCTTCAAGGTTCATCAAATTGCCTTTGCTGCTTTTCTGGCAGTCTAATCCAGCCTCTACAAGACACTACTTGTTTGTCTACATCCAATTCCTCTACCTGTTTCGGGTCCAGGCATCACTCTTGCAAGTGCACTAACAATCATTCTTCAAGTCCACTACCTAATCCACCACAATGACGAGCTTTACCATCTCAGACAGCCAACTCGATGAGTTGAAAGGCCAAGTGGCTATCATTACAGGTAGAACTCCATGTTCAGACCTTTCTTACAGCCTACTGATATACAACAGGGGCATCTTCGGGAATTGGGCTTGCAACGCTTCGAAGGATCATCAAGCACGGAGGCAAAGTTTTTGCGTGCGACGTCAATCCGCTACCTGAGCCCGAGGCATCATCCGTCCCTTTCTTGAAGGCTGATGTCTCGTCTTGGAAAGAGCAACTCGATGTTTTCAAAGCGACAGAAAAGAAATACGGGAAGATTGACCAAGTTTTTGCAAATGCAGGAATTGGAAAGTCAACGACCTTGCTGGACGATAGTGTCGACGAAAACGGCGACCTGCTTGCACCGAGGCTAGACACAATCAACATCAATTTGATCGGCGTCATATACACAGCGAAGTTAGCCATACATTACATTCAGAAGAACCCGAATGGTGGAAGTATCGTCATAACAGCTTCAGGATCAAGCTTCCAACGATTCCCGGTTGAGGATTATAGTACGTCTCACCAAGTAACATCAAGTCTATGGACTAACACACATTAAGCCTCAGCCAAGCACGCTGTCCTCGGGCTTGTACGTGCTCTGCAACCCCAGCTCCACCCCAAACTCCCGATTCGCATCAACGCCGTCGCCCCGTCTTGGACCGACACAGCTATTGTGCCTCGCACTATTGTTGCTGCTCTAGGCGAATCTGTTGTGCAGTCGGCAGATGTTGTCGCTCGCTCTGTAGCGCTGTTGATGGCTGACAAGAAGCGTCATGGAGAGCTGGTATACAGCGCAGCAGGCAAATTCCTGGAAATGGAAAATGGGACGGTGGGGTTCCATGTTCTTACGCAGCAGATGTTGGAAGGCGAAGAGGATGAAATGGAGAAGTTGTTGGCTGCTGAAAGGAGAGTAGACAATGTCATCGACAATATGTCAGAGAAGGAGAGACAGCATCATACGAACAGAGCTCCAGTGACTATGGAGTAGAAGGATTACGACGATATCTTCGGAATGATAGCTTATCTCTGTGTAAATTCTCAAAAAGGAAAAATACTTATCTTCCTACTTCCCGTGTTATGACATGCGCGTGGGCTGATATCTACTCTATTATCCTCACAATGAACTTGACTCAAGCACCCAAACAAACCATCGCAACGATCTGGTCTGCTATGCGTCCATTTCATGCAGAGAGCCACTTTGTTAGCATGCTGGGAAGCTTTCGAGTGTTTGTAGGCTGATGAGTTACGGCATCTATGTTACTATCATTTCAAAGAACAAGGACAACATCAGCAAGGCTTGCTTTTCCAGAGCGCTTGGGATTTCCAGTCTATCATCTGTTTTCCCATACCAGCTCTTGACGGCATGGCAAGCTTTCGTGAGGTATTCCTGCATCGTTGGAAGGCGAGTCATGCTTTGCCTAGGGTTGACAGAGTACGACATTTTGATGTGAGGGGCACCGCTATCTGAAACAAAGATTGTAGAAACATCTGATTTGGAGTGGCTGGGTAGCGTTATCGTACCTACCTTCGATGCGCTGGCAGCGGCGTCAACTTTGATGCCGAAGCGTATTGACTGTAGAAGCACAGGGTCTATAGCACATAGTATCTATTTCGGAGCCGCTGGTTGATTATCAAACATCAGTTTCATAAGTGTAACAGACACTTGCATCCAAGTTCGAACTAGAATCTAGATATTGTAGCACCCTTTCTGTGTCGTTCTACTACATCAGAAGATGGCTACCTCGTCGTGTCAAGGCTCTGCTAGTCTTTGTAGACAACAACGTGGAATGAAGCTTTTCTTCGTCCTCTACAAATAAACAGCATCGATTCTTATCGTCAACATAACTAGGGCCGAATACACCAACTCAACGGATGAAAGCTTTTCCACAAGCACTTCAAAACTTAGCGAACACCATGTTCTTTGCTGAACCGCTTAACTTACACATGCGCAAACAAGATACACCCCTTGTCTCCGCATCGATACTGAACAAGCCATGGACTATCAGCCTATCAACAACTTGACATTTCGTAGTTTCCGATCCCTCCGAATACCAAGCGTCGTGGCGTCGCGGGGTAGGATAAAGTCTTCGCCTGGTGATACAGCTGGACTCAGCTCTGCACCAAATCTTCAGCTAAACACGACCAGATACCGAACCTGACAACCGACGGCATGTGGAGTAATCGCTACGGCTGTTCGCCTCCATATAGATGCGGTCGCCGATCATCGTGGAGTCCGGGGTAGGTCCGCCTCCACGCCGAGTGGAGATTTATGTGACCGTGCATCTGGCGCGTCTCCGTTTTGGGTGCTAGTTACGACAGCCATCACACTTGGCGCACACGCGCTCCATCAAAGTACGCGCTGACAAGGACACTGACCAGGCCCAGGTGCGGTCTGGTGTGAAGGGGAATCCGCCGAAGAGTGTGGAGTATAAAGCCAAGGTGCGGCGTTACGACTTGCCATTGTTGCGAAGGTTGCCTTTCTTTCTTTTTTGATCCCACTGTCACTCCGCCATGGCTCAAGCGCAGACGGATTATTCCGCCGAAAAGTACACGCCCAGCCATCATGAAGATCTCAAGAATGAGGACGCGCACCAGATTGCAGGACACGGTCATGCTGCCACAGACATGTGATTTCGCCCTCACCTTTACGCATCTCTCATCTAACAACCGCACAGCTACGGACATGCCCTGATGGAGTTCGATAAGAAGGCTGAGTCACGTCTCAGGCTGAAGATTGATCTGTACATCATCCCGACCGTGGCCCTCCTCTACCTATTTTGTTTCATCGATCGTGCCAACATCGGAAACGCTCGCCTAGCTGGTCTCGAAAAGGATCTTGGACTCACTGGCTATGATTACAATACCGTCCTATCTATCTTTTACATCAGCTACATTATTTTCGAGATTCCTTCCAACATCTGCTGTAAATGGATGGGTCCTGGATGGTTCATTCCCATCATCTCACTATGCTTCGGCATTGCATCGATTGGCACGGCTTTTGTCCATGACATCAGTGCGATTTGTGGAGTTCGCTTCCTTCTGGGTATCTTCGAAGCTGGTATGCTACCAGGTATCGCATACTATATGTCTCGTTGGTACAGACGCTCTGAGCTTGCGTTCAGACTGTCGCTATACATCGTCATGGCTCCTCTGGCCGGTGCTTTTGGAGGATTATTGGCATCAGCGATCCTCACACTCGACTCCTTCGGCTCCCTTACACGCTGGAGGATGATTTTTGCGATTGAGGGCATAGTCACCTGCTGTCTGGCACTTATCTCGTTCGTAACGCTGACGGATCGCCCGGAGACTGCGCGCTGGCTGACTCAAGCGGAAAAAGATCTGGCCATTGCTCGTGTCAAGTCTGAGCGTGTTGGCCAGAACGAGGTGCTGGACAAACTAGATACAAAGAAGACGCTTCGTGGTATCTTCAACCCTGTAGTGCTGACGACCTCTTTCATTTTCCTGCTCGACAATATTACGGTACAGGGTCTTGCTTTCTTCGCGCCTACCATCGTCAGGACGATCTACCCTCGAGATTCAGTCGTCTCGCAGCAGCTCCATACCGTTCCGCCATACGTCGTAGGTGCCTTCTTCACGGTCCTCCTGCCCTTCCTCAGTTGGAGATACGACAGGCGCACGATCTTCTTCATCCTAGGAGCTCCACTCATGATGATCGGATACATCATGTTCTTGGCCAGCACCGAAGCAATGGTCCGATACGGAGCTACCTTCTTAATTGCGTCTGGAGCATTCTCGTTTGGTGCTCTCTGTAACGCGCAAGGCTCGGCTAACGTGGTATCTGATACCGCGCGAGCATCCGCTATCGGTAAGTACTACAACTCGCGAATTACAAGCAGTGTAAATTCTGACTGTAAACTCAGGTACCGTTGTCATGTTTGGCAACCTAGGCGGTTTGATATCGACCTGGAGCTTCTTACCCACAGATGCTCCCAACTACCCTATCGGTAATGGGCTTAATCTGGCGACCAGCAGTACGATCTTGATATCGAGCACGCTCCTCTTGCTCTGGATGAACAGAAGCAACAAGCAGCGCGAAAGCATTGATGTTGATCAGGAATTGGCTGGCAAGTCAGAGGGAGAAATTGAGGATCTCGATTGGAGACATCCCTCATTCAGGTGGCGGCCGTGAGCGAAGACGTGTAGCCCGAGTGATGGTCAACAGGTGGGACTGCGACTTTCTACCAAATATGCACGAAATGTCGACAATGCAATGTCATGTAGCTTCAATGAGTGCCCAAAAAACAATGTGTGATATGTGAAAACCGAGTTATGTCCGTCCTGCGCGTTCCCCGCATCGATCGATAAGCATGTCCACAGCTCCGAACGCGACCTCGGTCCAGACGGTCTTTCGTCATGCAACCGAGCACGACAATCATGAATAGCCATTCGAGCAATCTCTCCTGCCATAAAGGCTGCATATATCTAACAAGGAATCCACCCTAGCCTGCTCGCGCTGTCATAATACCTCACGCGTATTACTTTGACTAGATTCGATTCAGCTCTGCAGCCATGCCTTCCGCCATTGTGATCAGACAGGTCGAAGGCAAGCCAGGACAAGTCTATTACCCTCTCGAGAAGATAACTGTTCCCGAGCCAAAGCCAAAAGACAACGATGTAGGTGGACTTGGGCCATGTCGTCCGTTGTGCGCAAGCTAACCATCATCACCCAGGCCGTTATAACCATCACAGGCGCCGCGTTGAACCATCGTGACCTATTCATCCGCCAGCACCTCTACCCCGGCACAACCTTTGGCGTCCCCCTTCTTGCAGACGGTGTCGGCATCGTTAGCTCGACCGGCACGTCATCCTCCGCGAAATCATGGCTGAACAAGCGCGTGCTCCTGAACCCTGGCACAGGCTGGAAGGATAGCCTCGAGGGCCCAGAACATCCAAAGGGTTATGCGATAATGGGTGGCACCAAGAGCAACCCCGCAGGTACACTACAAGATGTGTGTGTGCTAGACGCAGGCGAACTAGAAGAGTGTCCCGAGCACCTCAGTGACGAGGAGGCTGCAGCGCTTCCTCTGACTGGTCTCACAGCCTGGCGCGCATTCTGGGTCAAGAGCGCAAATGCAGTTGCAGGGCGAAATATCCTGGTTACAGGCATTGGAGGCGGTGTCGCGCTCATGGTTCTGCTATTTGCCGTGGCACAGGGCTGCAACGTGTACGTGACCAGCGGAAACCAGGACAAGATTGACAAGGCGGTCAAGCTGGGTGCCAAGGGTGGTGTAATTTACAAGGAGAAGGACTGGGACAAGAAACTGCAGGCTATGCTGCCCAAGGACCGACAATATCTCGATGCCATTGTCGATGGCGCGGGAGGTGACGTGGTCAAAGTGGGTAGTAAAATACTCAAGGTTCGTTTTCTTCCCCGCTCGCCTTTTCTCGAGCTATCATCTGACATTGCAATAGGTTGGCGGCATCATCTCTATTTACGGTATGACCATCTCTCCCAAGATGGATTTCCTCATGTCCGCTGTGTTGCGCAACATCGAAGTCCGTGGCTCTACCATGGGCTCACGGAAAGAATTCGCCGATATGGTACAGTTCGTGAAGGAGAAGAAGATGAGGCCTGTTGTCAGCCGAAGTGTGCAGGGTCTGGATATTGACAAGATTGAGACACTGTTTGATGATATGAAGAGCGCTAGTCAATTTGGCAAGTTGGTAGTTGTCCTTGGTCAGGGAAAGCAGAGTAAGCTATGATGAGCAAGATTATGGATCTTAGATGTTGATATGATGATCCGACTGTTACGCCGCTTGGTACAATGTGTAACAACATCGTTGTTTCAACCAGGCGGTCGAGTCCGCTCCACTCTAGGACGCCCTACTGATTCAATGCTGCCACGCTTCTCTTTCTATCGTTCGAAGCATAGAAACCAACATGAATTGATCCTTACATCAGACTAGAAGCATACAAGCCAGACGCTTCGAAACTCACATCGATCATCCGTGTTGATTCGTCCGAGGTTGTTTCGACTAAGGTACTACTAATCAAGACACAGCAAATTGCAGCTATTGCTGCAGGATTGGGCTTCTCCTAGTGCGTGATAGTTGGCGGAGTCCGCGGAGTGAAAAAGAGGAGGGTCGGAGATGCTCTCACTCCGGAAACATCAACACGTAAATCCACCCAATTAAACATGAGTTTGACCATGCTGAATCGGCTTAAATGTCATTGCAAATTTTTGTGTCTCCGTTCTATCATATCATCATCTTCTTGTTTTCTTTCTACATAAGGCGAATTATTCCAGCAAAGCGACAAAGAAAACCACAATCATGTCCGCCTACGATAAGAAGCAGCCCAACATCTCAAACAACAGTCTAAAACAAGATGGCTATTCTAGGAATGGTGAAGCAACGGCTACTTGTTATTGCGGAGCTGTACAATTAGCCTTTGTGAGTCAACAATTGAAGCTCCATTGCAACAAAACAGAGCAAACCACGAGCCTACAAATTCCTCTCGGCAATTGGCATTTATCACTCGGACAACTGACAGACGTTCCAGCCAACCAATGCTCCAGGTCTCATAGATGTCTTCGTCTGTCATTGCACTGACTGCCGAAAGATCACAGCTTCAGCTTTTACATCCGCATTCATTGTGGCATCTTCCGCTGTCAAGTACATCCGCGGAGAGGAAGACCTTAAAATGTTCTCGCAGTCTCAGACTATCAGCTCTGGGAAGGCCATGACGAACTGCTTTTGTGATACATGTGGGACCCTCATGTACAGGCTCAGTGAGGCGCATCCAGATATCAGTCTATTAAGATTGGGTAAGTCTTATCATTGTGTAAGTTGAATGAGCGCAGGCTGATTCAGACAGGTACGGTGGACGATTTGAGTTTGATGGAGGGAGTGCTGAAACCCAGGCGGGAGGTGTTTGTTAAGGATAGGGTGGATTGGTTCCATGGTATCGAAGGAGTGAGGCAGAGCGAGATCACGGAGTGAGTATTGGAAGTAAGAAAAAAGCACAAGAGGACACGTGCATCGACTCGTTCAGGCACGCAGAAGGCTCATCGAAGTTCAGGTTTCGCATGTGAAGATCATCGGATTCTTATGGGGATTCCGATGTCGTCTAACGAAATAAGGGTGCATACCAAGATTACCCTAATGCAGTATCGAGTAGCGCCCCTGATACTCAACATTCACGAAACGTGGCCAACGCTCATAGCCGGTACTGCTTACCAAATCCCCGAAATCCCCATAATCCGTAGCATGCATCCCTGCATGACGCCAGGAACGAACAAAAGCCGCTAACCCCGCCGATCAACAGGACAAAGCGTGAAGTCGTCCCAACGAACGCACGCGGCGCGCGCCATAATTGTTTTTCCTGGCTGAGAGACCAAAACAAGTCCCATCAACGGATCCCTTTTTATCATCGTATAGAACCAGGGGCTCTCGGTCACTAACATGTGCATTTGCAGTGTGTAACGGTGCGGAGTCGGATTTACCGCCGTTTGTTGTAATAACATCGATGACGAAATGACATGTACCTAGCTGACAGAGCAACACAACAACAACAACAACTACCAGTCAGCTAGCAAGCTGAACGTGGGAGAGACGACCTGCATATCTGACCGATCGACAAGAACAGCAACTGCGAATTTGTAATCCTCACTTTACAAATCTTTGTGCAACAGAACTCGAGAGAGGGCGGGAAGGGGCGGTTATAAGGAGATAAAGGGAGGTCAGCAACCATGAAGTTCATCAAGCAGATAGCCCAGCGCTTGAATCCCGATTTACACATTCCTGGGACCGACAGCCCACCTCAGTCGCCATCACCGATACGAAAAGCGAAGAGTTCGTCGACACTTCTGGTGACAGAGCAACGGAAGGAACTTTCCACGCCGCCTTCCAACTCATCCTTAAGAAAGAAAGCAAGTTCCATGTTCCTGGCCCGAGGAAGTAACATACAAGATTTTGCTACTTGGGGCGATTCACCAACAACATCAGTTGCGACTACCTCGGCAACGACAACGCCCCCTCTACTAACGCACGCACGCCACTCCTCTGGTCCGGGACTAGGTTCATCAGCGACATCATACTACACACAAGCTTATTCCACCCAGCCATCTACACGAACTTCAACAATCACTGGGACATATGAACCTAGAGGTTCTTCGCCAACATTACCAGCCATAGCAACACCATTACCTATAGCAATAGCCATGTCTTCTGTCCGCTCTTCCGATAAATCAGTGCCTTACTTCCCTCTCGCAGGCCAAGCAAAGGATGGGTACTCCAACGCTGAGGAAGCAACAGCGACATGTTATTGCGGCACTGTCCAACTCGCTTTCCCAGTCGAAGGACCTGGCTTGGTATCGACTTTTGTGTGTAATTGCACCGACTGTCGAAAGATTACCGCGAGTATGTTTGCTTCTAACTTTACTGTAAAGGATAGGTAAGTTCTTCCCCACCTCAACAATGCCATATCATACATGCCGAATCGTGGAAAAACAACAGCCCACCTGACATACGACAGTCATCTCCGTCACCTCCGCGGCCAGGAGAACCTCTCCGTTTACAGTCAAGTTGCAACGATAGCTTCAGGCCACTCAATGGCGAATCACTTTTGCAAAACCTGCGGTACGCTCATGTACCGAGTCGGCGGCGGCTTTCCTGGCTGTTCCATCCTACGCTTGGGTACTGTGGATGATTTTAATCTAGTAGAGACCAAATTGAAACCACAGAGTGAGCTTTTCATCAAGGATCGTGTGGGTTGGTTCAGCGGCGTGCAGGGGGATGAAGTAAAGAGGATGCAGGCTATGTTGTGAGTACACGCTTGAAAGGAGTGGTACGTGGCATGAGAGACCGAGGAGGGTGAAAGGTGTAATGGAGGGAATGGATGGAGTTGGTAATAGTGTAATATCAGCATTGAGGTGGGGAGGAAAAGTATAAACATCGTCAAGGTGGTGCAAGACCATGGAAATAATGCATTGTACGGATTTGTATCAGTGTATCAATATATTGCACAAATGCGAAAAGCCTGTCCCGAAATTGTTGAGAACTTTCCAAAGTCGCTTATCAACGGTCGTTCTAAGGCACCTCGCAAATTGTCCACGAAAACTCGCAACATCACAAAAATGCATAATGATACCAATAAAGAAAAAGACGTTACAAAGGCGTTTTGGAGCATGGCACCTACCTAGGGTATCACTCACAGCCACTCGTCCACATCATCCGCAACATCCATATCCGCGTCCACTCCACCCATCTGATGACCTTCCTCTTCCTCAACCTTGATTTCTTGCTCTCCGATGGTAGCGGACGAGTCATCATCATCGTCGTAATTCGCTGCAGAAGCGTCAGTTGTAGTCGTGACAGACTTGAGACCACCAAATGCGTCGTTAGGAACCCATGCCAGCTCAAGTTTACCAACGTCAGGAATACTGAGGGATTGATCCAGAAATTCTTCAGCCTGATATCGTTCTTTGAAGGTTAGGATGAGGGCATCGGTTTGCTCGGGGTGACGTTCAATGCTACAATCAGGGATGTTCTAGAGATATCATTAGCAGACGAAGATGTATACACGAACAATCTCCACTGACAAGAAGATGCTGTCTCAAAGATTCATCCCTCGGTGAATCAGGCTTGATACCCATGACAGCTAGGCGCCTAGGCCTATTATCCAGTTTCTTGTTTGCAGTGCGACTAGCAAAACCACCTGCACGACCACGATACGCGCCCCGATAAGGTGCATAGCCTCTGGCCCGAGGTGGGAAGTATCCACGACCTCGATAAGTTCCACGGAAAGCACCATGGCCGCGATCACTAGGCGAGGGCTCATCGGGACCATGCTGATCGAACAGTTCTGCAGCCTCTGCTTGAAGGGTTGCAAGGGTCTGTGAGAACTCGTCCGATGGATCACCTGATAGTTCTGCAAGTTGGCGTTTAATCTCTGCTATCTCTCTGTTCTTCTCCTCCAGCTGTCTCTCAATCTCTGCGGCTCTCGCATCTGCTTCCTGGGCCTTACGACGGCGCTCTTCGAATGCTTTCTGCGCTTCAGCTTGTCTAATCGCAATAGCCTCTAAGTCAAGTTTTTCTTCTTCTTTGTGTCCCGGGTCCTCCATGTCAATATCTTCATTATTTTCAAGAGACAGCTTTTCCCCTGTGTCGGGGCCATACCAGTAAACCTTGACGAATCGGTTCTCGAACACGGCCTTGGGGCTATGGTAGGCTTGATTAGCAGCCTGGCGGTTGGCGAATCTAATGACTGCCAACCGCCTCTTAGGATGCAACTCGAGATTAGCAATCTCACCAAACTCTGAGAAGTAGGTCCGTATACCGTCATCATTGAAGTATTCTTGTGGAATCTGTTCGACGACAAGCGTGGTGTTTGATCGATCATGGGAATAGCCTGGCAAAGAGAACGATGAGCGCGGTCTCCGATTCTTGGTCGGACGACGCTGGCTACTAGGAACTGCTTGTCTGCTGAACAACCCTTGCGGCTGTACAGCAAGGAATGACTGCTCTGGATCATACTCGGGAATCTCGTCAGGCGAAACAGTCACTGCGGCATCATTATGCTCGTGTGGACAAAGGCTGCCCAGCGCGCAGAAGCCCCTTTCGAAGTAATCAGCACACTTTGTCTTTGGCCGCACTTGTTTCGAGCCACCATCTTGCCTGTTGGGCAAAGGGAGCTGAGGCATGCCTGGCAGGTTCGCGCCAAAAGCTGCTGCCATAGCAAAGAAAGCCATGGGGTCTGAGGGATCGAAAGGCAAAGGTCCTGGGGGTGGGGGTGGGAGGTTGGCAAAGTTCGGCATACCACCGTAGCTACCGAAGGCGTTCTGTGATGGCGCTTCTCCATTTCCAGCACTTCTCCCGCCTCTGCGAGCGGTCTGCTTCGAAGGTCTATTATTCGCACCACCGCTGCGGTTATAGTGTGGATCTTGGCCTTCTCGCGACTGGCTATCACCTCTTTCCAAGACTTTGCGCTTCCTTGACTGATTAGAGCCATCATGATATGTGCTTTGCGTGGTCGGTCGGTCGGGTACGTGGCGAGGTGCCTTTAGATTTCTGGTCGCAGCAGGACCTCTAGGAGCCCCAGATGACACATTCGACGGATGTGGTTCGTATTCGAAGTTCGTATTGCCAACGATAGACTGTATTGGCTCTGACTGTAAGGCTTGGGATGAGAGGTATGGCTGCGCGGCGTCGTTCGTTTTCGGTTTTGGGAGGTAGCTCTTGGCTCTGAGTCCTGCAATGATATCTTTTGCGAAAGGTTCGGTGCCTTCCACTGATCAGCTATGAGGTATGACATGGCTTTCTCATGCGCTTACTTTCTCTGCCCAGAAAATCCTCCAGCGACTCGACTAGAGTACGCTGAACGTTTGCATCTGTATCATCAACGGTGACGAGCGCGGCCACATAATCGGCAAGGACCCCAGCTTCAGCATCGGAACTGCACTCCTCGTCAGTATTTTGCGACTGCGCAACGACTTTGGTGGGAGCGATGGCTGGCTCTGGCTTACATGTTTTCGAGCTTCGGTAGTAACCAGCCCTTGAACTCAGCATGGTCTTTCTCTTCGAGCAACATTATAGCTCTTGTGGCCAACTTCCGCTCTCCCCCACGTTGCGCGATGTTATCAAGGTTGCGTCGCAATGTTTCCGCACTGTGTTGTTGACGTCTCTGGTGGGACCTAGACCGAGCAGAACGTACCTCTTTCGCGTTGCTCTTAGCGCGACGACAATGTCATAGCTCTCTTACTCGTGTGCACGTGACATCAATGCCCCGCTACATTCACTGCCAAACAACCTTACCCTTGCCGTCACGTCTTACACATGCGCAACATATAGAGAATCATACAGACCCGTAGCGCAACCACTACTAACGCTCAATCAAGAGCTTGTGTGCGCATGTCATCACCAGCATCATCATGACAACCGACAAAACATATTGTGCGATATAGCTTGATTTTCTCCAACTATATTACACTCGGAACAGGTAAGGAAAAGGGTCATTATCCGTATCTTTCGTGCAAAGCCCCAAAAACCTGACTAATATCAAGGGCGAAACCGCCCGGACCGACATTTACTAGTTCTGGTTGCTTCAAGGGGGACCCGTTTGCGTCATACATCGACCAGCGGCCACGAGCTTGCCCATGACTGTCGGATGACCCAGAATTGCGAGGAAAGGAAATCTAACGCTTTTGCTAGCACTCCCTTATAGCTTGTCGTAGTACTGCGAAATCTGTTAGCATCTGATAATTTGTTGTGATCTGCGGATGGACTTACGTTGGAGACGTCGGGCACCTCAGTCTTGATACCCTTACGCTTACGCATGTCGAACACGATCTTACCAACCATGGTGGTGGCATCAAGTGGCGAGCCACCCTGGAGATGTTGCCAATGGTCGAAGACTTGTTGTGGGAAGGCCTGTCCACCAGTGGCGGCACGGAGATCGGCAGTGAAACCGAAGGACTCGTTGACGGGAAGGTAAGCCTTGACGTTGAAGAGAGGAGTACCAACACGCTGGTTCTCCTCGAAGACGTGACCTCTCCTTCGGGTAAGGACACCGTAGATACCACCCATGGCCTGCTCGGGAACCTGGATCTCGACGAGGTAGACGGGCTCGAGCAGAGTGGGCTCGGCAAGGAGGGTAGCGGCGTAGAGGACACGGCGCGCAGTGGGGATGATTTGACCACCACCACGGTGAATGGCATCAGCGTGGAGAGTGACATCCATGATGTTGAAGCGGATGGAGCGCATGGGCTCCTCAGCAATGGGACCTTCCTTGGTGGCCCACTGGAAACCAGAGACGACGGAGTCCTTGATTTCACTCAGGTACTGGACGGCCTTGGTCTGGTCAACGAGCAAGTTGGCACCGGTGGTGTCGGGACCGAAGCACCAAATCTTACGGGCATCGGTCACATCCCAGCCGTGCTCGTCAGCAAGGATACGAGCACGCTGCTTGATATCGTCACGAGGAGCGATCTTGCCAGCCTCAATGGCCAGGGAGACGGCCTCGTCCAAAGGCTGAGCAGTAAGGTAGAGACGGTTGTGCTTGTTGGGTGACTTGGACAGCGCGGTGATGCTGGAAGTGGCGTTGACAGTCTCACGGTACTGGACGACGGGGTCGGAGATACGGAGAGGAACACCGGCGTGGTCCTCCTCGAGATCCTTCAAGCAAATCTCCAAGTGCAACTCACCGGCACCAGCAACAACGTGCTCACCGGATGGGGAGATGTAAGTCAAGACGCAAGGGTCGGACTTGGAGAGACGCTTAAGACCTTCAACGAGCTTGGGAAGATCCTGGGCGTTCTTGACCTCGACGGAACGCTGCACGACGGGGGAAACGGAGAACTTCATAACCTTGAGGTTGTGGGCAGTCTCGTTGGTGGTGAGGGTACCAGACTTGAGCAAGAACTGGTCAACACCGACAAGACCAAGAATGTTACCGGCGGGAACGTTGTCAATAGGCTCAACGAAACGACCCATCATGAGGATGGTACGCTGGATGGCCTTGATGAACAAGTCCTCCTTCTTTCCGGGCTGGTAGTTGGGACCCTGAATGCGGACCTTGAGACCAGAGCGGACAGTACCGGAGAAGACACGACCGAAAGCGTAGAAACGACCCTTGTCGGAAGTGGGCACCATCTTGGAGACGTAAAGCATGAGAGGACCGTTGTGGTCACAGTCCCGGATACCGATGGCGTTAACGTCATCGTGGGGACCCTCGTAGAGAGTCTCCATACGGTACTTCTGGGCGGTGACGGGAGAAGGAAGGTGGAGAATCATCATCTCGAGGAGAGCGTCAGCGGCGGGAAGGAACTTCCTCATGACTACCTTGAGGAGCTGCTTGCCCTCGAGGTCCTTCTCATCGGAGGTGAGCTTGATCTCAAGCTTCTCGAGAAGAGTGGGGATCTCGTCGGTCTTGAAGTTCATAACAGCCTGGAAGATGCGGAAAATGGGGTCCAAGATGAACTGGTTGAAAGCACGCTCGAGGTTCTTACCCTCGTGGGTGCCGACCTTGGTCCATTTCTTGGTCTTGGGGTTGAAGTAGCTGTCACCCTACGTTCTGTTAGCAACTGCTGGAGACTATCTCGATCGATGTGCTTACCCAGAGACGCTCCATCATCTTGTTCTTGTCGACACCGAACTTCTTAGCGTAGCGGCTGGCGAACTGACGGATGGTGAAAGCCCAGCCGTGAAGACCGGAACCGAAGGCGATGGTACCCTTCTCGGGGTAGACCTGGACGTCACCAAGAGTCTTGTCGAAGTAGGTGGCGATGACGACGTTGACGGACTCAATGACACGGGAGAAGTTCTGGTACAGATCCTCCTTGGAGAGCTGGAGCTCGAGAAGAGCACGGTCGACCTTGTTGATGATGACAACGGGCTTGATACGCTCACCAAGAGCCTGACGCAGGACAGTCTCGGTCTGGACGCAGACACCCTCAATGGTGTCAACGACAACGAGCGCACCATCGGTGACACGGAGAGCAGCAGTGACCTCAGATGAGAAGTCAACGTGACCGGGCGAGTCGATCAAGTTGATCAAGAAGTCGTTCTTGGTGGTGGGGACAGGGATGTCCTTGAGGTCCTCCTCGTCCTTGAGCTGGGCGTACAGGGAGATGGCAGTCGACTTGATAGTGACACCACGCTCCTGCTCGTCAGCTCGGGTATCGGTGAAACGAGCCTCACCAGCCTTGGCGGCCGAGATAATACCGGCACGCTGGACGAGCGAGTCGGTGAGGGTGGACTTTCCGTGATCGACTGTGGTGGGGTATATTAGCCATCTTTCCTGTCAGATACTGCGGGGTCCCACGAGAGCGCTTACCGTGGGCAATAACGGACATGTTCCTAATGTTCTTAGGGTCGTCCATGAGACCACGGATCTAGCCGCGCAGTCAGTATCCATCCTTCCAATATTCCCGGTGTCGAAGTGTGATGCGGGGTGATGTGTGCGCGGAACGTACCTCCTCGACGGTGAAGCTGTCGTCATGTTAGCCATTGCTCGACCAATTTCACAGACAAGAGACGGAATGTTCGAGTCTGGAGCGAGGTGGGAAGGGTCGGCAGCGACTTACTTGACCATCTTTGCGGTGTTGTACTGCTCTTCTTTTACGAAAATTCAGTGGTGGGGAGATGTCGAATACCCCGCTTTGAGCGCGCGGATTCGGTGTATAGGTCGCGGGTTGAGCTGATGTCTCTGGCGATGCAGTCGACCAGAGTCAGACAGACGGAGATTGATATAGGCCGTAGAGGCAGGCGTGCGTCTGGTTGAGAAGAGTTCTGCGAGGGGGAGCGAAGGTTTTTAGTAGAGCTAGTGGTGGGGTCAGTCGCGCTTTCCTCGCTAAAGCACGGCCCACTGGTGGCGCGAAGTAACCTTTAATGCCCAAACTGGCTATGCTGCGGCGCCCTTTCCCTCTGCACTCCGCACAACATCCAGCTCTAATTTCTGCTGTCTTGCCAGAACCAAGGGAGATGACTCCACTGATCTGTTGTGGCACTGCCAGTTATTCGTCTGGGGATGATAATGCAACGGCCCAATACATGTCATTGGGCGGTGCTTGCGACAAGTGTGGATCATGATCGGGGGAAATATCGTCACTGGTAATTTCGACTGCCAAATTTGGACTTGCAGCGGAAGAATGCATGGCTGCATGTGCCTCAGTTAAGCATTTCTGGCAAGTCTACGCCTTGAAAAAGCACAAACATTCACAAGAGTCATCATGCATCACTACAACGACTACCGCTACATCTTTTCTTTTCCACGAAGACGCCTGGTGACGGAATTCCCGCCAACGCCACAGTCAAATGATGATCACGCCAACCTGACTGAGCATTTTGGGAGATTTGGCGCCCTCAATGAATCATCTCAACTTGACTCTTGCTTCTGGGTGAAGACAATTGGATCAAGATCAGACGCTTTGCTAGTGAGCGCTTTGAAATCCAATCTGAAGGCGACCATGTTGTGAGCTGGTGTGATGTTGCGCTTATCCCCGGTATCCCCGCAGTCTCTCCAGAACCACCTTTCATGTGCGCCTAGTATTCCAGGACATTTTGTATTGCAGGTTTGTGATATGCAATGAGCACATGGGAGCTGGATATGAAAATATCGTATTCAAAGGCATATTCTGGATGTGATCACTATTCAGTTGACGAGAGCAAGCCACTGCGTCAACTTTTGTCTATGTAATTCGTTCTAATAAGTAAAGACAGAGCTGCTTCAAGACATGCCATGTCCTTCCTCAAGGAGACCGAGGAGAGCGATCAGGCCACATGTTCCACGCTCCAGAGCCAGCACCTCTGCCTCTACCATCACGGTAGTTGTTCCACCTACCACTCCTACCGCCTCTCGCTCTTCCCCTTCCCCTTCCTCTGCCTCTATTCTTTCCATAGTTGTCACCGATGTTTGCCCACTGATGTCCGTCATTCGCGGACAGTGCGTTATCTGCACCGGATGTCTGTTCTTTATAGACGTCTCTTTTCGCAAGTCGTTCTTTACTTGCTTGGGGTCTTGCGAGTGAAGATAGTTCTCCTGCTGACGAGACAACTGGCATAAGATCCGCAAGGACGAAACCTGTTGTTTCCTGTAATTCTTCTCGTCTTTTCGAACTTTTGCGTATGGTAGTGCTCTGCCGTGAAATTTCATTCTCGCCTCGTGGTACAACAACGAGGGCTTCTTCCAGAGCAAAGGGGGTGCGATATTGATCGTCTGAGGGATATCCAGTGTCGCCTGGTTCGTGAATATCACAGTCGGATCCACGATGATGATTTTTCCTACCACGGCGCATAATCCTGCCTTCGCGCCGACCACTATGTCCTCGATCGCCAAAGCCTCTGCTCCTGTCTAGAGGCGTGAATTGACCAGTATAATCGAAGTTTCGTTCGTGATCCGCCTCGCCATGAGAAGACATCGATAACCTTGGTAGCAGACGCTCTGAACTCGGTTCCAGTTGTTGCGTGATTTTGCTGCGATATATGTCGCCACGTTTCTTTCTATCCTGTAGGCGAGGTTTTTTGCGTGAGTCTCTACCACGTCCTCGATCATTTGACTCCCCATCATCGAATGAGACATTGACATGGTCATCGGCTCTCCTCTGTACGTTGCCTTTGTCCGAGACATTATCGAGGTTTACAGCTCTTCTGGATGCGTGAACATTGCCATCCGCTCTGGAAGCTGGCTCGCTATCTGACGCCATTCCGGAGCGCTTGCGAAATTTATCCCAGTAGTCTTCTGTGTGACCAACGCCCGGGCTGCTTTTCTCGTGGTTGGCAACTCTGATAGAATCCTATTAGTGAAATTTAGCTTCGTTCCTTTCATGCGTGATAAGACAGCGCAAAAATTGAACAGCAAAATCCAAACGCGAATTCCATGTCTATACTCAACGCACTCTGCCAACTCTTGCTCTTTCTCTCTCCCTATCATCTGCCCTTGATTCACTCGATATCGGCACCTCTACTTCGTACTCCTCTTCCTCAAGCTTGTGAAACTTCTCCACCTCGGCGCGTTCATCGTGTGCACGGGCTGCGTCCAGCATGAACCTGACCGTACCGTTCTGACCGCGAATTCCGATTGCAGATTTTGGCGCTTGATCTGCGGCGGGCGAATGTGCAATGGGGGTAGCTGGTGTGAATGGGCTTGTCGGGTCGATGCCGTTGCGAGGCTTGGCGCCGTTTGTGGTGCTTCCGGCATCGGCGACAGACTCCGACTTGTACCGAGAATAACGTGGTATACTCGCTGCCGAAGCCTCCTGATTAAGTCCAATGCGGATGTTGATGAAGTGCTCAAGTGTGTAAGAGGGTCCGACCGAGGTTGCGCTGCGATGATGGGTGTACAGGTCGAGTAGATCAAGGAGGGTCTCCATAATCTCTGCTCGACTAGTAGCCCACTTGCTGTACCTTACGGGTCCCGCATCCACGAATTTTGTAGTGTCTTTACCATGCAGCCGTGCGGCAAGCTCTAGACACGCAATGGCCAGAGTCGGTGTGGACTGCTTCAGCGGTGCAAAAGTCCGGTATGAATCGATGCTCAGGTTCCAGGTTGTTTGGGCCTCGTCTTTCGCGTCGAATCGCAGAGCCCTAGCAAGCTTGACCATGACTTTCTGGGGGTATCGATTGCGAAAATCGAAGCCGGCGCTTTCGAGCATGAGCCGTTCAAGGCCGATGATGAGTTTGGAGTGGTTCTCGAAGCGCTATTGAGAGGTTAACCTTGATCCTGCAATGGCCACTCCTATCAAGAAAGGTGCCTACCGGATCGTCGCTACTTAGGCTCTCGCCAGGGCCAACCTTGAGGTTCCAGTGAGCGCATAAGATTTCCCTGCTCTTCTTCAAGGTGTCCTCGATTTTACACGCTGTGAAGAGTGCTGCGGCTGCCGCATCTGCCCAATTGTACTCGTTGTCTGCGTGCAACAGCCTGAACTTGTGGTAGTAGATGACGGCAGTGTTAAAGGTGCGGATGGGCAGTTGGAGTGCGCGTCTCACTTGGTCTATCCAGGCGACGCCTTGCAGACGGACAGCATCCTCTTTGGCATCGCTCATGTGTATATCTGACAGACATTTCTGCATACGCGACTGCAGGATATAGGGCTTCGCAACTTCGATATACGATGGGTGTGGTCCAACGCGCTCATTATCGCGCTCCAATGGAGAGGCGGCGGGCGCCATGACGTGAGCTTGGGTGCGGATGCTGCAGTGAAACTATTGCTTCGTTGTGGCCGTGGGTGTGGGCGTTGGTTGAATGATGCGTGGCAGTGCGCAGTTGGAATGTATCCTCGTCCCGGTCGCAAAGTTGCTCGAGAAATCCTAGGAATTATCTGCGATCCACAAGGACTGTCTAGGGCCGGACGAAGCTCGAGTCGTTGTTGGCAAGCTGGCGGTAGAAGGTTGCAGACTATCGGCATGTGGAGTAGACCAAAGGTTCATGGTCATAGCTTTCGTCCCTGGCCGCGAGGCTGGTGAGCACGCGCGGAACTTGTAAGGCACAACTTCATGACAAGACACAACAAGACTTGGTTGCTATTATACGTTCTTCGTGCAATTATCAGTGTCCTATATGAACCATTCCCTCCCAAGCCTATCCTCTCGTCCCATTATTAATTCATCCCAGCTTACACTGTACTCATGAAGCCAACGGGCCACTTCTCAAGAAGCGCCAAGGGCCGTAATCATTATAGTCTAAAGATGCAAGACCAGAGCACGAATGCAACTCTGTCTTGGACGAACCAAATTTTGAACACCGAAATCTACGGCTGCAAATGCAAGAAAAGATCGCTCAAAGTGCGCATCACGTAGAATGAAGCGTGAATTATTATGCTGTAGTTCGGTCCTTGAATGTGAGGAGGCAGTCATCCTATGGTTGGTTAGCAACAATTCCTCGTACTATGCCAGGTGTCCAGACTTACCATAGGGAAAATAGTGGCGAACACCTTGATCACCTCACTTTGGTCGGTAACCTGGTGGTCCCAGTCAAGCAGCATACTAGCCTTGCCAATCATCAACATGAGGTTGGCTTGCGCGTATGTCTGACCAAGGCAGTAGTGAGGGCCTGTACCGAAAACGAGCCAGTTCTTGGTTTGTTGATCAGCGTTACCAGTGATCCATCGCTCGGGCTCGAACGAGTCAGGGTTGGGGTATGCTTCAGCATCGTGCAGCGCCATGTATGTGGTAGGAATGACCATGGAACCCTTGGGGACGGTGTATTCGGGTGTTACAGGGAAGTCCTTCTTAGCAAGGTAAGGAACCATGATGACTGGAGGACGGTAGCGGAGGGTCTCCTTGACGACAGCACGGGTCCATTGCAGCTTCTCGATGGCATCAAGCGAAAGCGTCGCGTGAACGTCGCCGTTCCTGGCCTTGATGTTCTCTTCACGGATTTTGTCGAGGTATTCCGGGCGGTCAGCCATGATTTGGAAGAGCCATGTGGCGGCAGAAGAAGTAGCGTCCTGGGAAGCGAAGAGGAAGGTGAAAATAGTCATAGAGATCTCAATGTCACTGAACCAGCGGATGACGGTCGCGGGCTTCTCAGCATCATCGACCTTCTCGCCAGCCTCAATCCTCTTACGGTACTTCTCGGATTGGATCATGTTGTCTACCCAGAAATCGAGAATGCACTCCTTCTTGCCACCGGCGGCCATACGGACCTTACTCTTTGCGGCACACTTTGAGAACTCATCCAGAACCATGTCGGCGCACTTCTTTCCGTACCAGGTCTTGGTAAAAGGGATAATGATGGGGAAGTTGACAAGTTCGAGCGCAGCGGTAATCAGATAGTAGTCGTCGGCGATCTTCTTGACAGCCTCATCGGAGCAGTAGTGGCCAACAAAGGTACGGCAACTCAGGGCCGTGATCATGAGGCGGAACTCTTGCATCCAGGGAATGTGCTTGCCCTTGTTCTCGACTTGCGAAAGCTCCACGAAGCGCTTGAAGTATGTGTTGTAGATCTCTTCTTGGCCCGGGAGATACTGTTCGAGCGCCTGGCGAGTAAACAAGCTGTTGAGACCCTTGCGATAGTCGACGTGGGCACGACCATCCAGAAAGACCCAGTTCTCAGGGCGAAGGAGTTTGTAGGCGACGTCGACAACGCAGGGCTTGACAAAGGTAGGCGAGTTGAAGATCTTACGAGCCATGTCGCGGGTGGAGGCAATGACAACGAACCTGAAGAGCGGTCAGTATGGACAGACTCGGAGCGGACGCACAGGTTACGTACTTGTGGAAGACGGAGACACAGCTCAGAGGGCCGGAGGACCATTTCTCGTGGTACTTCTTGAAGTCGGGGTTAACGGACTCTAAGAATGGGCCGATGAAAGGTATTTTCCATGCTGGACCGACGATTGAGCCCTTGTTCCAGATGTATTTGACTGTAGCAGCGTCAGCAGTGTCCGGCGCAAACGTGAAGGGTGGTGTGCGTACACTGGTCGTACGCCACAGCCGTTATAATGAGCGTCAGGAGGAGCTTCCACACATTGAAACCGGTGAAGACAGAGGAAAGGAGGCCGCTGGTGTCGAACTGCTGGATGACGTGCGCAACTTTTGCATCCGCCGTGGGCGAGAAGAAACTCGCGTTGACCGCCATGTTGAAGAATTAGGATCGCGCCGCGCCGTGAAATGTACAGAAGAAAGCGCGAAGATCGCGGAGGGGAAGACGTAGGGAAACCACGAAGAGTCAATCGAAGCCGTGTTAAATTCCCACGCGAGAGCAAGGCCCAAAGAGGGTCTCCAATTGTTTAATTGCAGGGCTTGGCGCAAGCGGTGGCCACTGCAAAAGGAGCCATGTCAATCACATCAACTTTCGGAATCTAGTGCGTTATAGGCCTGGCGCTGCACGGCGATTCGGATTTAGCGCATCCGGGCGCGCGAAGACCGGTCTCGCATGGATGATGCTGTCGTATATTGGACGGCATTGTTGGTCGGCCGATACGGTCATACGAGCCATGCATGTCGACGGGAAACGTTGTCGGAAACTAAGCCTAAGTCGTGATCTGTGTTAGAAATCCATTCTATGTCTCAGATCTCGAGATCTAGGGACCGCCCCATTTGGTGCCTGCCCAGCTTTTCAGGCACACGGCCAATCGGCGCTTTCGTCCGCACTGTGAGCATTGTCAGCACTGTTTGTGGAACTCCAGTTCGTAGATCGCATGTCAGCCACGCCACCTGATGGATATATCATCGCATGATACAGTGGTAGACCCTACGCACAGCTAGAATAACGAGATCAAGGTTGCTGAAACCGCAGCAGTGGAAGTCGGTGCAACATCTCTGCTGCATGGTAACAAGGCTGCATCCAGCCTGGATTGGTGCAGTAATATTTTTTAAACAACGATAGTGCCGATACAATGGAGAGGACTGCAACACCAGCACATCTGTGCGCTTCTTTACTCAATCATTCATTCTTGCGAGGTTGCCTTGAAAAATTCTGGCCAATATCTCCCGTCACTGACAGGGTGCGTCGCCTTGGTAGCTAACCACGAATCCATGCCCCATCGCTGACGAAGAAAAGGAATTAGTTCATCAGCGGGATAGCCCCAGCGCGCTTTATGTTCTGTAATGCCCGGAATCGCAACATGGAACCTCCTCATCTCCTCAGCAAAATACCCAGGAACATTCTTTTCCTGCAATTCGATTAATTTACGATTGAAGAGACAGCCTTGAGACAAGTGGCATATGTTGTAGGGAAGGTTGGAGTAATGGGTCATACTTACGTGCTCCCATTGTTCCTTTGTCAATCCGAATATTCCGGTGATATCGCGCGGGAAAGCCGAAATGCCCTCGTCGTAGTGCGTAATCTTGACGGAGATGTGGTCACAATCGTGCATCATTGTGTAGACTAGGCTTCTGGTGCACTCCAAAAAGTTGACATAATTGCATTGAGCGGCGAGCCCGGTCCACACATCACCGGAGTTCGGAAACTCAGTGAGAATGATGAATTCAACATTGATTCCGTACTCATGGCGATGCTCTAAGAAGACTCTCAAACCTCGCAAGTTGGCTTCAGTAAAGCGTAGGAAACGCTGTTCGTATGCATACTTGTCGTAATCGGTCATATCGTCTTTTGGCATGTCTGAGTGGAACTGTTCGAGCTTGACGCGAACCTGGAGATTTTGGATATGTTCTCTGGGGTAAACCGGTAGTGGTAGCTGGAGGTCCTTTGGTACTTCCTTTGGGGTGCTATCATTGTTACAACCCACCATATTGTAACCAGAATCGCGAGTTAGGAAGTATAGTATTCCCTGCTCGACGCTGCAGACAGAGAAGGTGTTTCGCGCATAATACATCTTCTGTATCTCGAATGCGATCTCTGGGCCCATGTATCTGGGGTCTAGGAAATGGCTGTGTGGAAGTGCCATATCACTCGGCGGCTTATGGGTATGCATTTCTTTGATCCGGCCATCAGGAAGTATAGTATCCTCGTCTTCGTGATTGAGTCTGAGTCGGTCGGCTGGAGTTGACGATACTGTCTCCATGACACGTTCAGTAAGGCCCGAAGTCATCCGTGTATCATTACTGTCGATAGGCTGGGACGAGCCAGTCTGCTGGTCAGATACCCCTCCAATCTCAACATCGACATTCGCACTAACGCCAACATGGGGTGCATAGGGGACAGCTGGGGTAGTTCTTGGTAGCGGCCAGGTGGACTCGACGTATGGGTAATTAGACGGGGTGAACTTATATCGAGGGTCGTGCAAAGGCCGATCGTATTTACGGAAATGGTAGTACGGGCCCACAGGGATGGGACGGTCAAGTTCGACGCAGAGGAGTTCGTAAATCAGTTCACGCAGCTCAACGGGAAGTTTCTGATGCATCATGGTCGCAAGTTGCAGGCAGTCCTTCCTTGCATAGTAGAGTACATGTTTCTGGTAGATGAGATCGGCGGAGCGCACTTCCTTTGTAGCTTCTCGAAGCTCACGCTGCAATTTTGCAATTCTATTATAACGTCAGCCACTCAAGTATGTGTGCAGATAAGCATAGGGTTTTTCGACTGTTGTTGCTCGCGCTGGACATGTGTGCGCAACGGCACAGAAATAGGTACACTTGGTGGACTCACTTCTCATGCTGGGATTGCGACTGCGCCGTCATGTGACGCAAAGGCGCTTGTAAAAGCCTGAGATCATTCAGGCCATCCATTTCGCTATATTCACGCGATAATATTAGGAGCCCGTAAGTTTGGA